TTCACAGGGCAGGGAGGGTTAGGGTCTGGTGCTGACCTCAGTCACTTTATTCTGCCTCCCCAGTAGTACACTATTTGGAACGACTTAATCATGTGGTAAAAGCCAAGCATGTCGTTTTCTCTCCTCTTTCTCTAGAAATAAGATTTGTACTTCATGATCTTTTTGGATGCAGGAGTGAAGTGAGGTAGTAAGAACACCAGAGTCTGAGGCCGTTCTTCTCATCAGTAGCTGTTAAATGCTACCACGTGAATTAGAACATAACTTAGCACGTCAGGTCTGTCCATTGATCCTGCTCACATTAGAGTTTGTGGTTTTGGAGTAAGCTCCACAGAAGGCCGATTGTGTGTATATGTGTGTACACGTGCATGTGCACGCATGTGTCTCTCTGTGTGTGTTTGTATGTTTCTCTCAGTTTAAACGTTTGTGAATGTCAGGGTTTTGTATGGCTACTTTAATGCAAATGGCTACTTAGAAAAATAAGTCAGGATGAGATTGAGCATTGCATTTTTCTACTTCACTTATTTTGGCAACATATTTTTTCTGTATTTGAATCTTCTACCCCAGTATTTAAAATAAAGTTTTATGCTCTGTATCTTGCAGGTAAATCCTTACCTCTGACTTATCACTGTCCAAAAGCAAGGATCCCGTTTTTCATATGCGATGTCTTTACCTTCAGTTCACAAAACAGCTGCTAATTGATCATCCACAGAGTGTTTTTGAGGCAAAATAATCTTCATTTTGAGTAAAATTTCCATATTAACAAAACAAATTATTTAATATAAATTTGTGCAATTAATAAACAAAGTAATAGGGAAAAGAGAGAATTGCCCTCAGTTTCTTAAAGACAAGGTTTCATGTATCACAGGCTGTTTTCAACTATGTAGCTGAGGTTGGCTTTGTACTTCTGATATTTCTGCCCCCATGTCTCTAAGTCTAGGATCATAGGTATCTGTTCTAAATATACCTCACTCAAGAACAGCTTTTAAAGACGTGCTTTACTGGCAAATAGTCATTTTATATAGTGATGGCCCGTAAAAGTTTGCAGCCATGTGTATCATACATTTTGACCACATCTACCTTTGAATTCTCTGCCATTCTCTCTCCCACCCCCCTGTTTGGGTGGATCCCCTACTACGGTCCATATATATATATATATATATATATATATATATCCAAAAATACTTGGGATGGTGAAGATCTCCACCTAAGAGTCCCATTTCACATTCTGATCTAACTCATCCCATTCCAAACCCTACCCCTGAGAAAGCCCTCCAAAAGTCAGTTCCTCCCTGGGGCTTCTCAAGACCACACCTTCAGCTATATAAGACCTGACAGCCTTATGTGATTCCTCCCCTGCCTCCCCAAGGGTCACCCAGAAGTTGCTCTGCTCTGCTCAGATTAAGCCTGGGTTTGATCTGATTTATTACCTCTGTGGCAGCATCACTACTGGGGGATTTAAACTTTTCATGCCCTCCTGCTGGTCCATTTCCTTTTCCGAGATAAATAGTTCTGGCTTCCAAGTCATATTTATATATGCATTTGTGTTTCTATATAGAATCTAGGTTTCACATCTGAGAGAAAAACTTAGTGTGTCATCCTTCTGAATTTGGATTATTTTGCTTAATATAATCTCTATTTTTATCTGTTTTCTTGCCAACAACATACTTTCACTGATTTTTATGGCTGACTAAAACTCCATAGTGTATCTATGCCACATTTTCTTTATCCAGCTCTCTGGTGACCACCACTTAGGCTTGTAATATTGAGTTGGACTTCAATTCCCAGCCTGCCAAACACTTGGACTCCAATTCCCAGTCTGCCAAGTGCCTAGACTCCAACTCCCAGTCAGCCAAGAGCTGACCCTTTCCTGGGGAGGGTCAGGGCTACTCCCACAGGTTATTTAGGTTCCTGACAGAAAACAGAACACATGATTTTGTGTTTTCATGGACTCCTCTCTCCCCAATGCTGTCTCAGTCCACCTGAGAGTGCCACATTTATTAAACAGGCATTTTAATTCAGTCTTATCTGGTTTTATTGGAGTTCCTTGCATTGGTGGAGTGGTATTTCTTAAAATTAAACCAAACAGATGTAATAATTTCATAACCTCACTATTGTGAACAGTGTGGTAGTAAACCCAGATGTGCAGGTGTCTCTGTCATATGCTGACTTAGATTTCTTTATTTATATTCTAAGTACAGACTATTTTTTAATAAATGGATTGAACTGGAAAAAAGAATACATACAGAATGAAATCTTTTGTCATCCTCAAACATTAAGAAAGCAATTATTTTAATGATTTATTTTATTTTTAAATATGATGTATGTATGTGATTTGAGTGTGTGTGTATGTGAGAGAGAGTAAAGATACTTCTAAAATCCAGAAGAGGGCGTCAGATTCCCTAGAGCTGGAGTTACAGGTGGCATGAACTTTCTGCTACAGTTGGTAAGAGCCAACTCTGATCCTCTGCAGAATCAAGAGAGAATTCTTACTGTCTGAGCCATCTCTCAAGAAACTTTACTGTCTGAGAAATCTCTCCAGAATTTTTACCATTTGAGACATCTCCCCATCAATCTCTGAATGGGTCCCCAAAGAAGTCATTCTTAAAATCACTTACATAGTTAGAATATCACCCAACTCAGGTATTGATTTATTATAAGTTAGCTCTTAAATCAATGATTTTAGCTAAACAATAAAATATGAAAACTAGTGTAAATAAAGGTGGAAGGGAAGGGCAGAGGAAGTTTTATTCTTGGTGGTACTGTATCCAAGGTAAGTCCACTCCTGTGGGGTCAATGTGGTCCTCTGAAAATGATGTGAGTACTGAAGAAGGGGGAAGGGATTTGAAATTTATGGTCAGAAGTAGTAAATGGGAAAAGGATTTAATATCATTAAAAATAATGAAAAATGATCTAAGCTGCCCTTTGCTTTGTCACCATATTCAAATTATAGCTGAAGTATTGTGTTAATATAATTAGGGACAATTCCCAGTGGAAATTAGCAAACTTGGCATAACGAAAATGTTTTTTAGTGACTGTAGAGATTTTGTGAGATGCCCTCATTGGTGATGCTAAGGGTGTAGAACAGGTTCTTGTCACATTCACTGAGAGCATGAGTACTGAATGGTTTGTTTCATTCAGATTTCAGTCTGTGAGGACAAAGCCAGTGATGCAGTTAAGCTCCACACATCTGGGTGTAGACATAAGGCCTGTTTGTAGGTTACTCTTAAAGAACTGGATTACTTTATAAAGTGTGCTTAGATCAGAGTACTCTTGTCTCTTCTTGAGTGATCAGTCCTGCGACCAGGACATCAATAACATCCACTATGGCAAGCATGCACAATGCACAAGTGTACACACATTTCAGTGGGGTCCTTGATAAGTTGCAGACTAAAGCACATACATGCAGAGCGAGAGTCTGCTTGTACCCAGAAGTTTGGGGGCGTCTCCCTAAGAGCCATAGGTGGGGGTTTCCTCTTAGGGTTCTTAATCTTGTTAATAGAAGAATTGAAGAATTGACTTAGAAGGAAGCACAGGACAGTTTTATTAGGGTTTAAAAGAAAAAAAAATGCAACAGGCAGCCTCAGCTGCTGCCTGGAGGAGAGGGATCGGGAAGGACAGAGCCACGCCATTTTGAATTAGGCACAAAGGTTTGATAAACAGCCGTGTTCACAAAGGGTGATGGCTTCAGAGAGAAAAATCCTGAGTGCCAGAAAAAACATTCATAGGCTCCAGTCAGCATATGAAAGAGAGGGAGAAAATAAAAGGGGAAGTCGCACATTTGACAGGGATAAGAATGTCAGGCCGACCTTAAAGAGTATGATGACAGAGACTGCACAGAGGGCATTAGAAATACGAGGCAGGGGGACGTCTCAAGTGTGAGGAGAGTTGGACTGCATAACAGAACACTGCCTCAAACAATGTGAAAATAGCCAAAGTAAGTATGAAAATAAAATGTTGACTTAGAAACCTGGAATAAATGGTGCTCAGAGGACTGGAACCTTTTTTGGTGCTTTGAAAGTCTGCAGATCGATTCCTCAGAAATGAAAACCCAAAGTAAGCCAGCAAGTGGCCCACATGCTTTAGAGCAGAACTTAAAATCTGACAGTTTGTCACAAGTGACACTGATTCTCTTCCCTCAAAGCGTGTTAGCAAAGATCATTTTGTTTCTTCTGATTTTTGTTTTTTGGCAATTATTTAAGAATGTCTTCCTAAGAAAATTTCCAAACAAATCTAACCGAAGAGAATCATGTAATGTTCTGTGAATTTAATTAGCATCATTTTACCCTGTCAGCTTTTTTCCCCTTGAAACATACAGTCTTTAAACCAACCTTCCATCCCTCTATTCTTTCCTTTATTCCTCTCTTCATTCCTCCCTCCATACCTCCCTCTACTCTTCCCTCATTCTCCCCACTCCCTCCCTCTTTTATCTCAACTATGATTTAAAATAAATCTCCATTGTAAAATTTTGTATATTTTCCTAAAATATTACGATTCAAAACCAAAGGCATTGGTGGGTCAGGACTCGACCAGTAGCCATGGTGGGACAATTGTCCCAAGACACTACACAGCCAGAGCAATAGCTCCTTGCCATGCCGTGAGGTTGGAGGGGGCAGGACTCAACCAGGAGCTTCCTGGGGCTCTAGCCCTAGGCCCTGATACAGCAACATATCAACGCCATGCAAGCTGCTGACTGGGGCAGGACTCAACTAGAAGCAGGCCTGGGGACTCTATCCCGGACCGCAGTACATCAACAGCTCCATGCCACGCCATGCAGCTGCCTGGGGCACCACACGACCAAGTGCCACCCAATGCTGATGGTGCTGGGAAGTCAGGCACCACTATGCTGAGCGAGTACAGGGTGGGAAGGGAAAAGAGAGAGAGAGAGAGTGGCGGAGCAGTTCCTGGGCTGGGGAGAGAGGCGGGGCTCGGGAGGTGAGGGTGTTGAGAATGAAGCTAATGTAAATGGCCTACTTGCCTCCTGAGTCCAAGGTGATGTCCAGGTCTGGGCTATTGCCAAGGGCCAGTCTTGGCCCGAGGGCCTGAAGCAGCTGAGGAGGCATGAGCTGGTGTTTGTGGCTCCTGTTGTCACTGAGGGCTGTGAAGAGGCCTGTGGTCTGGGCCGCCAACTGGGGCCAGGTAGGTGTCCAAAGGCCATATTGCCATGGGTGCCATGAAGATTTGAGTGTCCTGCACTGTCACCTGGGACCGTAGTGACATCCAGGCCAGGGCTGGGTTCATGATCCTACCATAGCTGAGGTCTGTTATGTCCAGAGGCCCATGGTATCATCAAAGACCACATGGATGGCCAGAATCTAGGACACAACCTGTGACCATGTTGGTGCCCAAAGGCTGTGCCACTACCAGGACCATACCAAGCTGAGTGGCCAGCACTGTCAGCTGGTGCCAGGGTGTCATCCAGGCCAGGGTTACTGTTGAGGGCCTTATCTAAGTCTGTGGCCCTACAGCAGCTAGGGTCTGAACTGATGTCCATAGCTCCTGAGACCATTTAAAGGCCATGCTGACTCCAGGGGTCTGGGCTGCCACCTGGGTCTTGTTGGTGTTTGAGGGCTACACTGTTGTGGGGGTCATGTTGAACCAGGTGGCCTGCATTGCTCCCTGGGGCCATGGTGACGTCTGAACCCTGCCTGTGGCCTAAGATCATGCCTGGGTCTGTATTGATGTCCATGGCCCATGTTGCCACCAAAGACAACACCTCTCACCTCGTGTAGTGATACTTCATTTGGATTTTAATAAATAAAGCTTGCCTAAAAATTAGAGAGTAAAACATCCCTACTGGTCAGCCTTACCGACCAGGCAGTGGTGACACACACCTTTAATCCCAGTAGCCACACTAGCTGCCATAGGATAAGGTGGTGCATGCCTTTAATCTCACGCTTTTAACCCTAGAATCAGAGAGAATTATAAGACGGGAGGAGACAGCTCACAGACACAGTCTCATTCTGAGATTCCTGGAGGCAGAATCAATATTTAGGACTGAGGTGGAGGTAAGAGCCTGTGTCTGGCTGCTATGCTTTTTGAATCTTCAGGTTGAACCCCAACTTCTCTCTCTCTCTGAGTTTTTATTAATCGTGCTTTACCTTGGGTGTGGACCTCAGCTTGGGTGCGGATCTCAGCTGATGAGAGCTGACCCAGGTGTTGGGGACACAGGAGAGCCAGCCCTGAGGGCATGAGAACCACAGACCTGATCCTGTCCTCTCATGTGGCAGCGTGGGTGAGGAACAGATGCCCCCCATCCCTTGCTACCTGCAGAGGGCGAGAGCTGGCACTGGGATCACGAGATTGGGAGAAATAGCCCTGTCCCCGACTAGACGCAGCACAGTATCGCTGACTGTCATGAGGCACATAGATGAGCCAGCCTTGAGGATGTTATGCCCAAATCCACCAAGTCCCCCACAAGCCAAAAGGAGACCGAGTCCTGTATGTAAAAGCAAAGAGCCTTTATTTTATGCAAGCTTGCAAACTTGGTCTCTCCACATGTCCAACATACTGGAATAAATGGAGAGCCCTGAGTTCAGTTAGAGTTGTTTTTATAGTAGCAAATGTAGGTTAAGCAGTTTCTGTGGTTCATGACCCCTGATTGACTGACATTTGTCTAGGAGTATCCTGGTAAGTGTGTGCTGGCAGGTGATAATGGTTAAGCAGTTGGAACTTGGAATGCTAGGCATTTCCTTTGGATAGTCTGTTCTTGGGTGGTACTCAGGTAATCTTAGTTTATGGTCCTTCCTGCAATCAGGCATTGCTTCAGGGTAAACTACTGAGACTCGGGCCTCTATTAAATTTACCAAAGGCTGAGTCCTAGTCTGGCAGGTGATAATGGTTGGAAGTAAACCAACCATTTTGAGTGAGAGCCAGAGAGCTTCTCCCACCCCCACTGCTCCCTGATTATACACCCCAATCAGCAATTGAAAGAAATTGGGTCCTGCATCGCGCCCAGGCAAGACAGTGGAGCTGGCCCTGGTGATGAGAGTGTAGGTGAGCGGGACCTGAGGACCTGGGAGCAGGAGAACTGGCCCAGTTCCTTGCTTCAGGCCACACTGGGTGTGCTGGCCAAGGTAGCGCTGGCCAAGGCAGCGCTGGAGAGCTCACCTGGGTAGTGGCAATGAGGGAAAGCTGGTTAGCTGATCAGCCCAGCTACCACTCAGACCCAGAACCAGGACTATGAATTGGCCCACCCCAACATCCACCTTATCTGTGAGCTATTGGAGTGTGTGAAGGGGACAAACCTACAGATCCAAAACTACGGGATCTCTATGACGGGACAACAACAGAATATCCAAGAGAAAGCTAGTGAGATCCCATTATCAGTAGTGGAGCAGACACCGGAAGCCTCTAGCCTGACCAATGACTCATGGCAAAAGACACTTGCAAGCGAAGATGAAAAGACAAAAGGATTAACGATGTAAGTCAACAGGCCACACAACAGTTTCCATGATGAGATTTTTCTCCTCTACATTTGTGTGTGTGTGTGTGTGTGTGTGTGTGTGTGTGTGTGTGTGTTGCTTTGTTTTGCTTAGTTTTTGATTTTTCTTTTAAATTTTGGGAGAGATTGCAAGGGTGGATGCAGGTGGGAGGTCTGTGAATGGCATCAGAATGCATGATGTGAAATCTGAAAAGAATCATTGAAAATAGAAATAACAAAACCCCAAACCCAATGCAGTCCTTTTTTATACCTAAAACAATTACTTTAACATGAACTTAATCATTTATCCTGGTCATCTAAAATATTTATTAATTTTTTTAAATTTGAGCTAAAATTCAATCAAGGTATTTGTATTTTACATTTTTTTTCTAAAATTCTCATTAAACGGGAGCTTTGTCCTTCCCCCTCCATACTGCTAGAAAGTGCATACTGTCATAGCTAATTAATGCCTCATAGAAAATAGCGTATTTTCTATTTCTTGTGTATTCTGGTGTATGTCCTGTGCAACTGATAGAGGCTGGTTAAACTTAGGACTCAGGTTTATTTTTAATTTTCAGTGCTTGCAATAGCATTTAACCACAGCTTACAGGTATATTATATATTTCATATTGTATTATTTCAGGTTGTCAATAATGTAGGATTGACCCATTTTTGGTAATGCTAAAATTAATAAGTAGGTTCTAGTTTCAGGCCAAACTCAGATTCTTCATCATTCTTGTAATGATTTTTCTTAGTAACCATTGATAAATATTTCCAGAATCAATATTTCATTAGGGGTTTAAAATGATGATTTTCCAAATTTCTTATTTATTTGCCATATGCCACTGGGGACAAGTTCAAGACAGATCTTCCATCAAGGTTCTGTTTACTCACCATCCTTGATTCCTGGCAGAACTGCATGATACAGTTTTGTTTTATATAATTTTTTGTCAGTCATCAAAACAACAATTTCTCCTAAAGGCCATGGATAACTTCAAAGTATACTAGGGACCAACTCTGGTCAGTTCTCTAGCAAATGGATTTTGGAGAAGTCTCAGAGCAGGGTGTGTAAGGGGCAAAAAGGAAGTGAGGGAGGAAAGAATGGGAAATTAAGAAATGTGCACACCATCTTCTTGCTTTCTGCTGAGGTTGCCTGAACCCGCATGTGCCAAGTGTATCTTCAGACCATATGGTACATTGTGGAGAAGGCTAGATATTTTGACAAAGCAAGAGGACACTCTTATCTCTGTGACTGCATTCATCTTCAGTGTTTACACAGCAAGCAACTGCCTTTGTGGACTTTTATATGCCAATACTTCTAGGTGCTGCTCAGACAGAAAACTTTGGATCTTGGCATTATGACTGAAGGTATGACTGGCCTAAGTGCGTGTCTGGACATAGAGAGACTGGCATGGTGTAATACTTAGAATTCCATGTCATGGTGTTGCTTAACCCAAGCAACAGGGTTGTATGAATGTCAAGGGACCCATTGGCTTGATGGCAGCTGATGATGAATTAGCATATCATCATGGTTTAGGTTGCAGATGAGACCCGGGGAGTGAGGAGATATTGTTCAGAAGTGTTTATTTTATCTTTCTGTCTCAAATTATCACTGTTAATTCAAAGATATCATCCTCATAATGTTTCCTTTTGCCCCTAGAATGCTTGGAAATAATTAACATTTGTGCAGTTCTTTGGAAAGTAATCCCTTGGGTGCAGGAGGTTAGACATGGATAGATGGTATATATTGGACATATTTCATCCCGTAAGTGAGAACTTTCCACATAGTCTATGGGGAGCTGTGATGTGGTTCAGCTATGTTCCTAGGGCTTGGGAAGCAGGCAAAGCAAGCCAGTTTCTGTCACATTGGAAATGGCTGTTGCTGCCCTACCTCAATGCTATTGTGATCCCTTCTTTCAAACAATGATCAGTCCTTTTGAGAGGCTGATGTGCAACTTAATGCAGAGGTTCTTGACAGAGCTCCAGATGTGTGAGCTGATACAGGTTCTAAATTTCCCCCCGGTTCTAATTTTTGTCTGTTATTGGTGTGAGTTTTTTCCAACTGAAAAAAACAATGTAAGAATTTGGCCATCTTTGAATATTTTTGAAAAATTTGTCTTCTGTACAAGATAATTATTTATTTTTGTGTTTATGGATTTATTTTGCACATGTAGAAGTCAGAAGACAGCTTGCGAGAGTTGGTTCTCTCCTCCCATGATGGATTCTGGGGATAAACTAACCTTGTCAGCACGGCAATAAGACACTTATCTACCTGCTGAGCAGTCTTACCCACCCCATCTCTGAATTGTTTAAGTGTATGGGACACCTGGTCACTGCTGATATAACGCAGCCTATGGACTAGGCTGCAACTAATTACTTCAAACTGTAGGCTCAGTTTTCTGTGCTCAGAGAAAATAGCTATTCTGGGAATTTTATTTTGATTCATCTAATAAAATATGATACAAAAACATATTCATGCTTGACTATGAGTCATTAATTACATGCATTACAAAGATAAAGGTGTATATTTCACCATGATGTAATAATCAGAAAATAAAACAGTAACTACCAAGGTGACATGCTATAATGTTTTTGTAAAGAGAAAAATTCTTTTCCTTTTTTTTATATAATCAAATACATAGAGGATTCAGATCACTTTTGTTTGGTATAAGCTTTTTTTTTTCGTATAAAAGTTGTCTGTAGGCAGGACCTGTTGGTTTGTCAAGTCACTGAAAGCCAAGAAATGAAATCTCTGTAACCCACAAAGGTTTGGTGACTGCTTCACAGTTGTTTCCTATGACACATGGAAGCAGCAGTGTTGTGGAACATTTGTACCCTGGAAAGATTTGTCATTCATATTGATTTAATAAAATTCTGATTGGCTAATAGCTTAGGCTTCTTTTTAACTAATTTTTACATCTGAACCCATAATTCTTGTCTGTGTTAGACACATGGGTTGGTACCTTTTATCAGTGAAGCATTCTCATCTTACTTCCTCTGTGTCTGGGTAATGATTGCAGACTGAGCCTTTCCTCTTCCCAGAATTCTCTTGTTCTGACCCTGCCTTTACTTCATGCCTTCTTACTATTAGTCACACGCTAATAGAATACCACATGTTTTAAATTTATTACTCCTCTTTAGTGATTATAAACAATCTGATACTCTTCATATATTTCACTCCAAAGTTGGTTTAATTTACTTTATTTTCTTGAGGAAAATTCCAGAATCATATCATTTTACACATATTACTTACCTACACACATATCATTTACCTACACATACCTTAGAATATCTCTAACTGATAAATACTAAAAACTTGTTAGAGATATTGATAATTTTCCTCTCTGTTTAATACTTAGCTCATACTCAAACTTCCTCCATATTCTCAAAGGTTCCTTTCTTAGTGAGTCAGTCTGTGTGAATCAGGACCCCAAGAAGCCCCCATACTGGGTCCAGCAGATGTCATTCTTTAATATACAGCAGATCACTTCCCATTTTACCTCTGTGTGACATTTATTTGTAGAAGAAAATGCATCTATTGTGTACCTGAATACCTCACATTAAGATTCAGTCTGGATCCAGTCTTGTGATATTATTCAATATTTAAAAAATTTTCACCCAGTATTTCTTGCAAAATAAGAATGAGAAAAGTTGATCAGATTCATGTTGAATTTCAAAAGATATTAGAGATAGTTTATATCTTTTCCTTCCCTCCCTCTTCTTCCCCTCCCTCCCCTCCCCGTCCTCTTTTCTCCTGATCTATCTCCTGGCTCAGTGTCTCTTTCAGTGATGTGAACACCACTGGGCTCACATGCTAAAGTTTTTCTTTGCATTTTATCTAGTAACTCAACATTTGATAATCTTTATTCTTGTTTCTCACACTATCTTTATGCTGGGAAACAAATTGTAGGTGTTGTGAACGTTAGGCAAGCACTCTACCACACTACATCTTTAAACCTTTATTTTTGGAATTCTGTTATTTCTTCTCTATTTATTTACTCCATCTCTCCTCTGTTTCCTCTACCTTATTCACCTCCTCTTTTCTCTAGTCACTATTTTTAGGTTAGAGGAAATCCATATACAAAATTACTAAATATTGCCATAGTTGTCTTAGTAGACTTGTACTATTTTGTGTTTGACAGTATTTTAAAATAGCTTCTCTCATCTGTGAACCACGGAATGAGTACACAGGGTTGTAGCATCTCAGGTGAGTTGATGGTGATCCAAATGTGGGAAGCCTGTTCTCCAAGCAATCGTAGGTCAGTTTTATAGTCATGTAACTTACTGTTCACTTGTTAAGTAATCTGCATATTATGCTAAGCACCAGTGAGAAAATTCTCAAAGTGGATATAATATACTCCCCTCTGCATGAGGCTAGAGTTAGATAGTAGAGAAATGTCTGTAAGTAAAGAACCCTATAATTATTGGGAAAGTAGATGTGAAGAAATGCTGCTAAGAAGGCATGAAAGAGCAACAAAAACCTGTGGCAATTGTACCTAGCACAGACTGTGACTCACTTGCTAACCAAAAAAGCCAAAGAATGTTTTTAGCATACACTCTACCCACCTGTTCCATAGAGCCTGCTGGTCCTAGAAGAAACATTTCCTGAGTTTGACCCTGATTTTATTTCATTTCTTCTTCTTTTTTGTTTTTGTTTTGTTTTTGTATTTGTCTTTGACATAGCTATACATGACCCAGTTGGGGTTAGGCTAGATATCTATGATATCTATGATACTTTTTAGTATTTATATCATTTATTTATGTGTTTTTATTTATTTATGTCTGTAGGTGTGTGCAGGTGAGGGGGACATGAAGGAGTTCTCTAGGCTTGGTGCCAGGCACCTTTACCTGATATGCCAGCTCCTCAGACCTCATAGAGAGTTTTGAACCCAAAATAATAATATGTAAAGCTTTAACAAGCATTATTTTCCACACGAAGCCATCGCTATAAACACAGCCATTCTGTGGCCTGCTTGACATATTGTTGACAGGAGAGAAGATAAAAGTCAATAAAAATGAATTATTTATTAAAAAGGTCTAATGTTACAAGAACAGTACACAGAACTATTGTCTTACTGTGTCTTCCACACGATATATACCATTATATATAGTATATATACAGATTGTATACAATATATTTAATGGTTTGACACAGAGTCCACAGTACCTTCAGTTACATATGCAAAACATTTGCTGTCATGAATTGTCTCATGATAAGGAGTGCTGTTTTCTTATGGTTCAATGGGTGTTATAAAAATTACAGTCTCTATAGTGATGTAAGACTCCATTCCACCAGAGAAAAAGCTTTCTCTGTACTGTTGTTGAAAAATAATACTCCTTGATAAGAATGCTGTCTGTTTGCTACAAAATAACAAATATGGATACAGAAACGCAGATACAGTGAAAACCTGTTTTATTTTAAATAGGTTCATGATGCAAAATGCATATTTTGTGCATGTTGAGTAAAAACATCCCACATCTCTGACTTGTGCGAGAATGTGGCATCAGATGTTTGGGATCTGGATATTTGGGTAGAGATGCACCAGTGATTTGGGAATATTGATTAATCAGAATCTCCCATGTTTTGACATTTTTATATTTTAGGTTTTATTTTAGAAGAATTTAGTTAAGAAGTTGATTCTTAAGGTTCTTCAGTAAGTCTAGAAGAAAACGTCAATAATAAATGAAGAAAATGTCTCAATTCACCAAATATGAAAAACGTATTTTTTTAAAAAATACCATTCTACACTTTTATCAGATGCATGATTTGTTTCTGCAAGTGACACCATTCTTGGGGAAACTCATCTTTTGCTTTCTATTTGTGAAATTCAGCCTCTCCTATTCCCCGGGAGGCACATCAGAAAGGCCACGTGGTTTTATTATTCATAGGTTTGAATAGTTACTGTCTTAGTATTTACTGTAACAGTCTGTTGACTAAAACAATCTTTCACATTGTCTTTCCTTTACTTAGAGCTGTCTGGGAGACACTTTTATCCAAAGAAAATATGAATAACTGGCATACAGTCTCACTGCAATCTGAAAGTGCTTTGAGGATTTTCTTACTAGACACCCCAAGCATCACTGAGTTAAGCACGGTATTTTCTTTCTCTCTCTCTCTTTCTCTCCCTCCCTCTCTTTCTTTTATTTATTTATTTTTGTTATTCATGATGCATACAAAGTTACTTAGATAATGTTATGTCAGAGCAATAGAATCTAACTTTCGTCCTCCTATGAGTATTACTCAAATAGCCAGCATCTCAGGGTATTTCTGGAAAGTGAGGTTACTATAAGTATTCTTTCTGGAATCTTCATAGATATGATACCCACCCTTGTGCATCATTGCGCTCTTTGTCCTATCGATCCTGAAGTAAGAGTATCTCACTTTGCTTTTCTGTGAATTATCTCTTAGGCTGAATTTGAATTCTTGAATTAGTTAATGGGATTGTCTCTGAAGGCATGGAATCCAGCAATGCAGACTTTGGCTAGACTAGCTGAAGCCCTGTGGCAAAGCCATGTTCCCACAGCTCAGCTTTTAGAACATCATTGAACCTAGTAGAACCTCTTTATTACACAGTAGTTGGGAAACATTTTTAAGTGGCATATGATATATATAGCAGTATCTGAAAGCTTAGATATTTTTGTTTGAATCATTTGCTTCATTATTTTTTCCACCAACTGTCATTAAAATCATTTGCAAAAAGGATAAAGCCTTGGACTCGATTCCATCTCCATATTGACAGTGGGTGGAGAAGAGGGGCATCCCCCTTTTATATTTGCACCCGTGGCGTTTGCCATTGCAGTTCTCAGCAGGCACTATTTCTGTGATGTCAAACTCTATTTCGGCATTAAACATGGGCTGTATTTGCTATTAGGTCACATGTCACTCAATGGGAAACAAGAAATCCATTTGGACTCACTTTCTATTTAACTTCCTCTAATGTAAATTCCTACCTTAGTACCTAACTCTCTGGGCACATGTAGAATCACCTAGTAGATAAATGTTGCTATTTTGCTATCCAGTCATACCACAGTTTTTGAGAATTATTTTATGAATTTACCCTATCATGGACCCCAATAACTGAAGCAATTTTTCATATTTCCTGCTGGCTTTGTGTTGAAGCAGTGATCTCATGGGAACTTTGGAAAACATCAGACTCAGAGTCTTGAGAACATGTTACCTTCTTGGATTTGTATTTGCTTTTGTGTAGGCTGATAAAGGCCACCTCTTAACCAATGGATGGCATTCAGTCACCAAATAGAAAGTCAAATTCCAACATATTAAAAAAATTAAGAATACATCTGACAGAAATTACCTTTGCTTACAAAATTTCATTACATACAATCTGCATATTTTTATTGGACCAAGAACTGTCCTTTCCATTTACAAAATTCAAAGAGAAACCTGATGGGTAACTCATATTCTCCCCCAGCTCCTGAGAGTGCAGTGTCTGTAGTCCCATACATTCAAAGCATTTCTCAGGATCCTGGGTCTCCGCTCTCTCTGCGCTCTGTCCACTGCTGCTTTCTCAAGCTAAAGCAAAGAAAAGCAAACTCCATGAGCAGCTTTCACCAGGAACTGGAAGGAAGCATCAAAGCCAAGAACAGTGTTACTGAGGACCACATGGAGAGAGAGTGCAGGGATGACTGAGCGCTCGTGATTTTCCCACCTGTGAACAAAAGAGAAGCCTCCAATGAAGCCAGTTTCTAAGAAACATTCTTAGGTTGGTCTTCTGTCCCAGGCATCATTCTTCTGAAGTCTCTGTCCCCAAAAGGAGGTCTGCAAAATGTGCCGAAAAGCTGAACCATTTCTAACAAATAAATCTAACAGTGAGAATGGGTGATTTCCACTAGAGGTGCACAGGTAGGAAGTATTTTAAGGTCAAAGTATGGGAATGAAATTATTGTTGTACAGCATCAACAATTCAATAACTGAAACAAAAATAATTAGGAAAAGTGTGATGTGACAAGAATTCATATTCCATAAATAACAAAATTTAATAATTTTTATATTTATGTGTTTGATTGTTTATATCCTCTTTTCAAAGTTGGCAAAAGGCAAACATATCTAGCATTCTTACATTTAGGGGAAGTTCTTTTGTGAAATCAAATCATCATATGCAATTTAATGAATTGTACTAAGTGGTCTTAGTTGATTGATCTACAGTGGTTTGAAAGCACCATATGCTCATAAACTAAGAACCATTTTAAGACAGTAACTTTAGGAATGGTTCTGCAAGCAAGAAGAGTACTGAAATATCAGAGTCGTTGACATAACTACTCCTTGTATGACAAGCATGGTAAAAAGTCCTTAATATATACTATCTTCCTTGATCCTTGTATCATTCCTATGTGGTCTTCCTGTTGCAGATGAGAAAAGGTATGGCTTAACAATTAGTGAGAAAAAAGAGTCCATGAATTTGAAGGAGAACAAGGAGGGGTATAAGGGAAGGTCTGGAGGGAATAAAGGTAAGGGAGAAATGTACTTATATTATAACCTACAAATGAAAATATAAAGAAAACAAAAGACGATGAATGTGGTTTAGATACTGAGCTGGCAATTTGTAGGTCCAGATGCTCTCCTGGATTGTGTCTCAAAACAGTGTCTTAGTTTCCGTTCTTGTTGCTGTGATAAAATCACTCTGACAAAAGGCAATTTAGGGAAGAAATGGTTTTATTTGTTTTGGCTTACATGGCTAGGCTACAGGTCACTGTTGCAGAGAAGTCAAGGTGGCAGCAACCCGATACAGCTACCATACCACATTCACAGTTAAGAACCAAGTAAGTGCAGTGTGCCTACTTGTCACATCATGCCTCTCCTACAGAGTCCAGGATCTCCATCTAAGATATGCTGCTGTTGCACCCAATAGGCTGAGTCTTTCCACACCAATCATTGCAACCATGACAGTCCGCCACAGACATACTTACAGGACAGCAAGTCTTCATTAACACTATCTTTCCAAGTGACTCAATAATATATTTAGTTGACAAAAATTATCACAGTGACTGACTCTGGGTATAAACATAAGAATAAGAATTCAAACAATTACCTAAATCTTAATATCTTCTTACAAGCTAGTTTTGCTAGTCAGATGAACGCAATGACAAAACGGAGTGTTTTTGTTGCTATAAGAGATAGTGAACTTTAATTTATTCCCAACATATTTCAGTGCAAAAGAATAACTTTACTGATCAACCACATGTGCAAACATCCACGTGTCCACACCCACATAGAAGGAAAGTCTTCATTTGTTTGTCAGTGTTTGTTACTAATGCAATAATAAAGATCATTAAAATTTTGGAGCATTTTGAGTAATTCTTATTATGAAAAATGTATTGATTGTAAAGTTTATGGCCACATCTGAGTTATGACAAGGAAAGCAATTTAGATGAGAGACCTCAATGCAGTAGCATGCACATGTGGAATAACTAAAGCATGCCCATATATCTTTAATTAGTTTAGAAATAGCTGTGTTAAAAGTATTGATGATCCTGTTGTCATCAATACTTTAAAGCTGTCTTTAAAGATGCTGAGTAAAGTCTTCCTCTCACGTTCTAAATCAAACACACTAATTAGATATGTTAACTTAACACAGCCAAATAAACAAGAGAGAAACCCAAGCACAAAGCATCAGTACCGGGGGGTAAGATCTACCTCATCTGTGAAGCTGTCCAGCTGTTTTACTTGAAGAAGCAATTTCAACTTCTCAAGCATTTGTTTTTGACAGCATAAGAATGAAACCAAGCCTCAGTTGGGTTTTATGGGACTAAGTTAGATATAATTATGAGATTTCACTTTATTGAAATTTAGAAATTGGTAATTGCCCAAATGCTATTAACTACAACATAAAAATAGTTATTTCAGAGTTCCTTCTCCTACACTAAGGCGACCCACCCAGAGGGGTGAGTGTCTGCTGGCCAGACAGGCCAAAAGGTCCCCTCAAGGGAATGCAGGGCACCTTCAGCTCTGCTGCAGGATCTTCTGTGTTCCACTCGACCCTGCCCCTCCCCATGGTTGCCCTTTCGTCTGCGGGGTCTTTGGACTACCAGGGCATCCCTGTTTCTGTGCTGAGGAGTTCCATCCAGACGGGAACAGTTCCTGCACTTGCACTGAGGAGATCTACCCAGAGAGTCAGTCACAGCAAAGGTTGGACCAGGACACCAAGACTCTCTTGGGTGCATTTGAAGGAGGAGATGGGCAGGCACCACTGCAAGAATTCCTCCAACAATCTGAAAGGCAACATGACATCACCAGAAACCAGGGATCACGAAACAAGAAGAATTGAACACCCTACTCCAGAAGAAATAGAAGAAATTGACTTTAAATGTAACATTATGAAAGTGATAGAGTCCCTTAAACAGGATGTGAAAAACTCCCTTAAAGAAATGGATGAGAAGAATAACAAAAAGTTTTAAGAAATGAATAAATCCCTCAAAGACACCCTATGAAACCAAGAAAAAGCAATCAAACAAGTAATGGAAACAGTGCAAGACTTTAAAAATGAAATGGAAGTAATGAAGAAAATACAAACTGAGGGAAGGCTGGATATGAAAAATCTGGGTAAACGAACAGGAACTACAGAGACAAGTATTACCAACAGAATGCAAGAGATAGAAGAAAGAATCTCAGACACTAAAGATAATATAGAGGAAATAAACTCACTGATTAAAGAACAAAACAAATCCAACAAATTCTTAACACAAAACATCCAGGAAATCTGGGACACCGTGAAAAGACCAAACCTAAGAATAATAGGAATAGAAGAAAGAGAAGATTTATAGCTCAAAGACCTAGAAAATATATTCAACAAAATTATAGAAGAAAACTTTCCCAACCTAAAGAAGGACATTCCTATGAAGGTACAAGAAGCATACAGAACACCAAATAGACTGAATAAAAAAAAAAAGCGTCCCCTCACCATATAATAATCAAAACACAAAACATACAGAATAAAGAAAGAATATTAATAGTTGCAAGGGAAAAAGGTCAAGTGACATATAAAGGGAAACCTATCAGAATTACACTTGACTTCTCAATGGAAACCATGAAAGTCAGAAGATCTTGGATAGATGTGCTGCAGACACTAAGAGACCATGGATGCAAGCTCAGACTACTATATCCAGCAAGGCTTTCATTCACTATCAATGGAGAAAACAAGATATTCCAGGACAAAAACAGATTTAAACAATACGTTGCCACAAACCCAGCCTTACAGAAAATACTAGAAGGAAAATCACAAACCAAGGAAGTCAACAACACCCATAATAACACAAGCTTCTGACAACCCTCCACCAGTACAACTCAAAGAAAGGAAACACACAAACACTTCCACCATAAAAAAATAACCAGAGTTAACAACCACTGGTCATTATTATCACTTAATATCAATGGACTCAATTCACCTATAAAAGGGCACAGGTTAAGAGCGTGGATATGAAATCAGGATCCAACATTCTGCTGCTTACAAGAATACACCTCAACCTCATATACAGATACTACCTCAGAGTAAAGGGTTGGGAAAAGGTTTTCCAATCAAATGGTCCAAAGAAACAAGCGGGTGTGGCTATACTAATATCTAACAAAATTGATTTCAAACTAAAAATCAATCAGAAGAGATGGAAATGGACACTTTATACTCATAACAGCAATAGTTTTCAGGAGGAAGTCTCAATCCTGAATATCTATGCCCCAATATAAAAGCACCCATATATGTAAAAGAAACATTACTAGAACTCAAAGCATACATCAAACCCCACACTCTAATAGTGGGTGATTTCAACACTCCTCTCTCACCAATGGACAGGTCAACCAGACAGAAACTTAACAGAGAAATAAGAGAACTATCAGATGTAATGAACCAAATGGACTTAACAGACATCTATAGAACATTCTACCCAAACAGAAAAGAATATACCTTCTTCTCAGTATCTCATGGAATCTTCTCAAAAATTGATTACATAATTGGTAACAAAGCAAACATCCATAGATACAAAGAAATTGTATTAATCACCTGTGTACTATAAGATCACCATGGAATAAAGCTACAATTCAACAACAATTCTAACCCCAGAAAGCCTACAAACTCATGGAAACTGAACAGTCCACTACTGAACCATCCCTGGGTCAAGGAAGAAATAAAGAAAGAAATTAAAGTCTTCCTTGAATTCAACAAAAATAAAAACAAAACATACCCAAACCTATGGGACACTATAAAAGCAGTGCTTACAGGAAAGTTCATAGCAATAAGTGCCCACATAAAGAAAACGGAGAAAGCACACATTAGAGACTTAACAGCACACCTGAAAGCTCTAGAAAAAAAAGAAGCTGATTCACCCAGAAGGAGTAGAAGACAGGAAATAATCAAACTGAGGGCTGAAATCAACAAAATTGAAACACAGAAAACAATACAAAGAATCAATAAAACAAAAAGCTGGTTCCTGGAGAAAATCAACAAGATTTGACAAACCCTTATCCAAACTAATAAAATGGCAGAGAGAGAACATGCAAATTAACAAGATCAGAAATGAAAAGGGAAACATAACCACAGACACAGAGGAAATTCAGAGAATCATTAGATCTTACTACAAAAGCCTGTATGCCACAAAATTGTAAAATGTGAAAGAAATGGACACTTTTTTAGATAAATACCATATACCAAAATTAAGTCAA